TATCAATGGTTACTTTCTGTTAAAACATACTATAGCTGATTGGTTTATGAAGAAAATTAAAGGGAATGAAATAATTTCATAAATAAAAAACATTTTTTTTTTCAATTTTTGTTTCTGCATATTTTATTATTTTTATTATTTCATTTAATTATCTAACTTTCACCAATATTTTCTTTCATATTAATTGTAACATTAAAATAATCTATTTTTTATCATATTGTAATGATAATTTTGCAATATTAACTATGAATAAAATAAGTTACAAATATATGTAAACAAACATATGTAACGGAGATATGCATGCATAAATGAATGAAGAATTGATGAAATATAGTGAAAACAGTAAAGCAAATGCATGTTTATGATAAATGTAAGGAAAATGGATAATAAATTAAATTAGATGAAATCGCACAAATACTGTGATTGACAGCATACTGTAGCACCGTGGTGGTATATACGGTATGTACAGAACTGGGTGACGTACGTGGTAATTTCATAGCAACAAAATTATGATATTATTTCAGCTTTTATATTTGTATCGATGGTAAAGTCAATGATATCTAATGAAATATTTATTTTTGATTTCATTAACATTAAGTAATTCAATGATACAATTAACAATGATATAATAAAAAGTGGTATACTGTAGTAATATACTGTAGATACTAGTATGCTTGAATAATTTAAAAAAATATTTGTGCAAAAATGAATTGTAATTTTAGTTTAGCTCAGAAAAAAAACCAATAATAATTAAATGTATGCTTGAATAACTTAAAGTTAATCATATGATAATAATGAAAAATAATGCGATTGATGAATGATAGTGTGACTGATATGATATTTATAACATATGTGAATAAAGCAATGAAAATGTTACAGCTTATAAAAGATATGATATTTTAATTAATAATTAATAGTAAAGATTATTTTTAACTACCACCAAGAACAATCAGATGGGAAAAAAAAATAGAACCATTATTAATTTCTAATTTTTGTTGCCAATTTTAAACATTAAATTCCATTTGGGTAAATCAATTTGCAATAAACTAACCAAATTCAATTTTAGTTCAGATTTGTTATTTTTGCTTTTGAATTTGTAAAGTTTATTATGGTTTTTTGCTGGATGCAAAAATGAACAAATTTAATGGTTCATTATGGTGGCATATTCGATTTTTTCAATTTTTTTATTTCTTTTATCAAATTAATTCACTCTACATTTCATCAATTTAGGTCAATCTCAATACGGAACGATTTAGTTTCTTTTAGTATTTATAAAAATAAAAAATAAGTGAATAATCTTTTTTTCAGTGCTTTTTTTTTTTTCGAAAACGTCATCGTATCAAATATACCTTGTTGTGGCTATTTTTGCTTATTGAAAATATTTTATTATATATGAAAATTTAAAAATCGTCATTTACATTTATAAATTTTTAAAATTTTTGCCCTCTTTTCAATTTCAAATAAATTTCTGATCAATTTTATGTGTTTAATTCATGTCGTTAACCTATAAAGTTGACACTAAATTTTAGTTAAAATCAATTTAATAGTATTGTTGTTTAATATTTGATGGCATTTTACGTTTGGTATTTAATTATACTCTTCATTTTTTTTTAATATATATTTGCAACACTTCTACTTGTTTTTAGTATCTGATAAACTTTAATCCATATTTAGCATTTAACAGTATCTTAGCCATGTTTAGTACTTTGTAACATCCTACTCAAGTTAAATTTTTTTTTTTACTAATACCTTAGCTACAGTTGATAAATGCTATAAGCCATCATATCCAGGAAAAAGAAAAAAAGACAGTGAATATTTTGTAAATATTCAAGAAATTAGCGAAAATTACATTCTTGATTTTGATATTAAAATAATACTATTACTAAAATACTACCTTAATGTTTCACAACTTTCATATATTATCATTAGATTTTTTGTGATAAATTTCAAAATAATAAATTTTATGTCCAATTTTTATATTTATTCCAAAAAGCATTTTTTTTTTAAAGTAATTATTATAAATAATTAAAAAGATAATTTCGAAAGACTTCAAGTTAATTAGTAATGATTATAAATGAATTATAATTTATGAGCAAAGGCACAAACCAATAATGTATATTAGAACATTTTGTGATAGCATCCATTAAGTTAGAGTTGAAATTTTAAATTAAATTAGTAACAAGTTAAAGAAGTCAATTTGTCTAATAAAATTTCTACAATTAAAAAAAACCAGTATGTAAAAATTAAAAATATTACGGATTTGCAGTAATAATCACTGTTTTAAATAGAGAAAAGAGAGCAAATTTTGAAGTTTATGAAGAATAAATCAAATATTTTCAAGAAATTTCCATTGATCTATTCTAGAATCTAAAATAAGAATTAGTACTTAAAAATAATAATAAATAACAGATAAAAAATAATAATTAACAACAAACGATTAAAATGTAATAAAAGATAATGATTAAATAATTTTAGTTTTTTATTGGTATATTAGTATAGTTTTAGAAGGATGAGTATGTCGTTTTAAGATTTTTAAACCATGGATAAAAATTTTTAAAAAAAAATTTAAACGTACTAAGATAAAAAAATTTTTTTAAAAAATTCACATTCTTACAAAAAAAATTTTTAAATTAATAATTTGAATCCGAGGCTTTCATATTGTAATGATATAATGCGTAGTAATAAATTCAATTCAATTAGCAATGATAATTCTTGCTTTTTTTTTTCCTTTTTCTTTTCTTATCTTCATTTTGCTTTGATAATTTAAACTGCTAAAAATTAAATGTATTATTCTTTTGCTATTTTTTTTTCTTTGTAATAAAAATAAAAATTTCAACAAATTGATATAATATTTTGATGTTTATTCCTTTCAAAAATTTCTTAATAATTTCTTTTTATTTTTTACTAATAATTGAAAATTTATTAAAATATCTTATACAAAATTATACTATACGAAATAATGTTAAACTATTAAAATATTTGGCTGACGAATGATTTGAAACATTTAACCAACTTTCTTCATTTAACAAATAATTAGGTCAATGTATCGATATGGTCAATGGCTATAAGGGCATTAGTGTTGTTATGTTACATAAGTGACCATTCATTTTAACAAATATATAAATATTTATTGGCATAAATAGCCATTCATTCTAAAATGTATGAATTGAGAAATGGAAATAGCAATAGGGTTCCTTTCTCTTTCTTGAGAATCAGTGATAAATGTACCATTTACAATTTTATTTACTTTTATATGAGCCAAAAATGTCCTTGAAATTTATCATTTATCAATGATCTCCTATTTATTTCATTTAATATTGTGCTAGTGCTATATTTAATCGTATATTTTTATTTTTATTCAAAAAAATATTTTCTTAAAAATGATTCAAATCATTTAACAATTTTAATAGAATTTTTTTATTTTAAATTTGCTAAAAATTATTGCATAAATATGTTGAATATTAGAGTTATTGTATTTGTTGTATGTTTCTATAATATATATTACATAGTCATATTGTCTGATTTAAAAAAAAAAAAAAAAAGAAGCACTTTATTTAGTTTTAAAAAAGTTTGTACCTAAATATATATTTTTACACTGTTCATAAAATTATTTCATTTTTAATGTGTTTTTTATGCATTTTTTTTTTTGTGTTGATAAAATTCATTTTTATAATACGGTTTTATAGAACAAGTAACATTAATTAAAATGTAAGTAATAATAAGTAATAATAATAATAAAAATAAATATTAAATGATCTATTTGCAAAACAAAAATTATAAGTGTTATTATAACTATATACAAGCAGAAAAAAGCAGAAAGCATCAAATAATAATATTTAATTTTCAACAGTTATGAAATCTGAAAATTATTGAAATAAGTGAAATTTTATAAACTGATATCATTTATTTGTTTTTCCATTCTTATTAATCTTATATGAAAAAAAAAATGCAATTCAAGAGCTATTGTGATGTTTAGGAATATGATATAAAACTTGAAACAATTCATTTTTATTTGTATTATTATTATTTGATAATTATTTGACAACTAAAAAGATTAGAGGAATGAGAAATATATCAGTGATAATCACAATGCATTAGTGAATGTGAGGGGTAGTAAACATAAACAAAAATAAAAAATTAAATTCATTTATTGTTTAGATGAAAGATAAAAGTATTTGAAGTGTAAGTGCGAAAAAATGAATAAAAATTTTTTAGTGCTTTTTTGGAAAAATTTCGTTAGATTTTTTTTTTCTGTCTGTTTTATCACAATTGATAAATGATTAAAGAATAATCGATAAACAGTATTTATGCATAGTAAGCGAAAAACAATACTTATAATCGATAAATAACATTTATGATCGATAAACATTATTTGTGATTGATAAGCAATATTAAATGCATTTTTATACTTTTAATAATATTAAAAGCAAATGATACTAAAAGGAAAAATCTTATTTATACCTTACAAATAATACTACAATGTATTTGCAATTATTAACAGATAATTGAAGTAAATAATATTTATTACTATTGTTAAAAAATTTGCGGTTCATTCATCCACTTATTTTCTTAGTTACCTAATCTAAGCTTAACTTGGCTTATATTAATTAATCTATTAATTAGTTAAATCATTTATTAAAATGGTAACTGTCATTCACTTTTGTTGTTCGTTTCACTTTCCGGAATTTATGGTCATAATTTCAGTCAGCTAAATTATTCGAATTTAAAGCTGAATTAAAGCTCTTTTTCTCAACTTCCAAACAAAACGACAATAACAATAATAGCAATAACAACAACAACAACAACAACAGCAATGGCACAACAACAATAAAAAGAAAAGCTTACCGAATTGCTATTGCAAAATTTGATAGAAAAATCGATCCCATTCGTCCGATAGTTTTCGTAAGAGTTTTTCCGTCTTTTTAAAAAGATTTTTTTTTTTTCGAAATAGAAAAATTATGATTTTAATTATTAGCGAAAAGAGAAAATCAATTAAATGAATGGGGGTCGATGCGGATGATCATTCAAAACAAAGACAACGCCGCTCACATGCTAACATAGCAAGAGCAACAACAGCAACAACAACAACAATACCAACAACAACTGCAACAACAATACTAGCAACAACAACAACAACAACAACAACGACAACAACATCGCCGATAATTAGAATACAAGGATTGCCAAAAAGCAGTTGTTGTGATGAGAAGCGGGGAATTCTGCGAAGTCTTTCATTTCAGGTGAAAAAAAAAAAAATTTACAAAAAATGCTAAAAATTTGTCAAAAAAATTTCAATTTTAATCAATTTAAAATTATCAAAATTTATTCAATAAAATGTTATAATATCTGATCAAACAATTTATTGCGTTCATTAAATTTATTTCTGTTTTCATTAGGAAATTTATTTTCATGGCTAGTAGCAATAACAACAACAACACTAACAATTAATAGCATTGTCCAATTAATAGCTATTTATTAATTTAAATTAATATAAGATTGATTACATCGCCATTTTTTTTGAAATTTTTTGAACACTTTTAGAATATATCTGCTTAATTTATTATTTCAATGATAAATCAAAGTTCAATATCACAATCAATAATTTTGTTGATAATTGGTTTGGAATATTATTAGTCAGATTTAAATTAAAAGACTGATTTTAATTAATTAAATTAATAGAAACCTCAAATAACTTTCATACATACATTAATCTAATATAGGATTATTATTTTTTAATGATTAATTTAAATGTTCAGTGAATCAAGAAATGGAAAATAAATGTTATCAATGTATTTACTGATCTTTTAAAAAGATGTTAAACTTTATTAAAATGATAAATAATTAGAATTAAATAATTTAGTGGTGAAATCTTTAGTTTAGTACATCGTTAACTCGTGGCAGACGTAAGTTAGCTGACGTATTCGACAGTTCAGATGATGCTGAACAACAAGGCGCATTTAATCATCAAGGTTATAAGCCAAATCGTCTTGAATTAGCCATGTATTCATCAACATTTGGTGTTCAACATTATGGCATTATGTTAAAACAAAATAAACGAAAAAATCGTACAGCAAAATGGAATAAACGGTATGATAGAAAAAATTATTCTGATATTTCTATTCAAATTTTAAAATATTTAATTTTTTACAAATTTTATTTTCAATTTACGACCAATTTGTCGCCTTTTTTAAGAAAAAAAAACACAAAACATTTATAATTTCTTTCTTTTCTTTTGCTTATTACATTTGTTATTGTTCATTTTACAGTTTAATAAAGCAAATATTAAAAATTTTATGCATTTAATTTGTTGGAAAAAAAAAGTTAAAATTTTAAAATAAAAAATAGTTTATTATTTATTTTTTTTTTAGGTTTTTCATACTCAAAGAATGTTTTCTGGTTTATTATAAAGCATCGGAAAAAAAAATATTTGAGAAAACAAGACGAATGAGTCTACATCCAAAAGTATTTCTTATTATGAGTTATTAGTATTAAATTATATTTATAATTATAATATTTCTACTGGTTTTGTTTTTTTTTTGCTTACTAATAATTAATATAAATTATTTGACTTATTTACTTGAAAATTATCAAAATATTAAAATTGATAGAATTGAATTTATTTTAGGGAATAGTTCCATTGGTTGGTTGTTCTGTGGTTGCTGGTCAAGATCATGGACATAAGAATTGTTTACTGATAACGCATACACAATTTAAATCAGCAATTATTGTTTGTGCACCAGATTCAAAAACACAAGAAAGTTGGCTAACTGCTTTACGTGATGCTACAAAAATGTTAGTTAGTATAAATCAATTTGAAATTTTTGTTTTTTTATTTAATAATTTTTCAGCAAATTTAATCTGCATTGTTTTTTAAATTTGATGAATAAAATTTAAAAAAAAAAAAGAAAGAAAAGAAAAAGAAAAGAGTGTAATATGATTTTTGAGGAATTATTGAAATTAACACACAAAAAAATTGTTATAAGCAAAAAATTAACACAAAAAATTGCATTTTTGTTATACTCATTATATTACTTACAAGTTAATCGTATAATTTTAATATTCTATATAAGTTATTTTTGTAAGTAAAATTTGAGAAATTTACTGTAAAGTGTTAATTTCTAAATTTCGAATTGCTTTAATTAGCAAACTAATTTAGTAAGATGGCAGAAAAAAATTTATGTAATATTATTTTTATAAAAAATTTTAATAAAATTTAGTTTTAAAAAAATTTAATTTTAGTTCATATAAGAATACTACTTCCTGGGAAAAATTAGTGAATGAATTAGAAAGTCGTGGCGTACTGTTAAGTGAAGAAAAAAAAATGTATGAAGAAAAATTGTTAGCCGAGTCGCAAGCACGTCAAGAAGAACATAGCCGATATTTGGTTTCATTAATTTTTTTATATAAAATTTTAATTCGAATTTTTTTTATTTCTTTATTCAAAAAAAAAAAATTCTTTTAAATTTGTATTTTTTATTTAAAATAATTTGTAATAAAATGCATAATAAGTTCACTGGTCAAATTTTTTGTATTTGTTAAGCTTAAATTATTGTTTTCTTTTTTTTTTTTTGTCTTTTTCTTTTAAGAAAAAATTTTCTTTTTTAATTTAAAAAAAAATTGCGATAAATAATATTTAGCATATTTTTATAATTTTTAATAATTTTTAAAAAAACATTTTTTTTTGGAAAATTTTAATGCAAATAATTTTAAATTATTTAAGCATTTGTGAATGATAAATTTTTTTGTGAAATGGAAAAAATTTGAATTTCATTTTTTTCCTTTGTAATTATAGCATATAAATATAGTAATAGTAATTGAATGAAACGAAAGAGAAGAAATGTTTACAATAATTTAAAAAAAAAAATTTTTTTTTCAAAAAATCTTATCACAAACAATTAATCTTATCATTTAATTTCATCATCTTATCATCATATTATAGTGTCTTGAAAGAGCAAAAGATGAATTGGAAAAGGAACGAGAAAGATTAATTCGAATGACAAAAAAATTAAAAGATGATTTGCAAAGCGTAAAAAAGTTAATCATATTCAATTTTACATAATTATTTTCTAATATTTCTTTTTTTTTTTACAATTATTTTTTAAATTAATCATTTGAAATTTAGATTTTAGACAAAATTTATTTCGTTTCTCTTTTTTTTTTTTAATTTTATTTTTGCCCTCATTAACCAACTGAAATTTTTTATTCATTTCTATTTATTTGTTAATTTTAATTAGTTTCGTTTATTTTTTTTAATGAGAAAATTTCGTTTAATAAAAATGATTTCTTTTTTTTTTTTTTTAATAGTGAATTGAAAATTACAAATGAAACGAAACGAACATTGGAGCAGGAAAAAATTTCATTAAATGCTAAAACTGAACATCTTGTCAGTAATATGCAGGTGAGTAATTGATCAAATTAAATTTATAAAAATTAAACAAAGGTCAAAATAGGAAAATGAAGGAAGAGAAAAGAATTTATGCATAAAAATTTTTGGTAAATTAATTGCTAATATTATTATTTTGACAATTCAATTGTTCGAGCATTTTTTAGCAAGATATAAACAAATGAGCAAAATTTAATTAAATTATGTTAAGTATTATTAGTAGAAATTAACAGAACAAAATTATAATAATAATTATTGTTTAAGAAAAGTACCAGTATATTAGCATTGATATAGCAAATAAATTTAGTCACAAAATTTTCGTTTTTTTCTTCTTTTTTTACAAATTTTAAAAAAAATTTTGAAATAAAAAGTACCAATTTTTATTAAAACTGATAATTTTGTATGCATAAAAATATTTTTTGAAATTTATAACAGTTATTTTTCCTTTCTTTTTCTGGCTATTTTCTTTGTTTCTTTCATTTGTCAAAACAAAAAAAAAGGAAAATACATAATTGAGAAATAGCAAACAAAAAAAAAAAAAAAACGTTGTTATTTTGTTGAAATTACATAGATCTTAATTAGTTAATTAATTAAAAAAATCATATTTCATTTTGAAATTATCTTCTCTAAATTATGTCATTTTTCTGCAATTTAAAATTTTTTATTTTGATTGTTTGTAGTTAATTAATTAAATAATTAAGTAAAATTATACATTCGTTGCATTTCATAGTCGCTCAATTTGGAAAAATCAAAAATTGAAGAGCAAGTATCAACGATAATCAGAGAACGTGAAAAATTTTTACTTGAAAATCAGAATTTATCAACTGTAACATGTCAATTAAAAAATCGATTAATGGAAATTGAAACGAAAACAAATTGTATTTTAGTGGAAAAGGAACGTGTTGAAGCAATGTATGATTGTAATGAATTTTTAATTCATTTCCTATTATAAAATTTAAGAAAATTTTACTTTTCATTTTTTTTGAAATAAATTAATTTAATTTAATTTATTTAAAATTTCATTTATTCAACATTTTACTATTTTCAATTTAGGCTTCGCTTAAATGAAAAAAAAACGATTGATTTGGAGAAGGAAAGAGAATATTATAATAGTCAAACAATGGAACTTTTAAATTCATTGAAAGTAAAATTATTATTTTCTTTCTTTTTTTTTTTTTTATTTCAGAAATAATTTCTTCTCTTTTTTTATTTGAAAATGGTATAATTTATGATTTTAGCACTTATAATTTAAAAAAATATTACAACGAACATTGATTTTTTTTTGATTTTTGATTTATTAATAAAACATTTCTTTCTTTTTGCGACTTTTTACGATTATTTTATAATGCATAAAATATATCAAAAATACTTCTTTATAATTTAGAAATTTTTTATGTTAAATTTCATTTTCTTTTTTAACTAATCATTTGAAAAAAAAAAAAAAAACTAATGCTATATTTTTTCATACAAACAAAAAGAGGGAAAAAATAGAAAAAAATTTTAATTTCATCTTCCATTTGGACGGTTATTATTTATATAATTTATATTTCAAAATGATAATAATTTTGAATTTCATTAAAATGAATCAAAAACAAAATATATATATGTATATCTATAAATACATAAATTTTTTGATAAAAAAAAAATGAAAAAAAAAAAAAAGGAAAAATTTTACAGGAAGTAAGCGAACAACGTGATATAACAGAAGCTGAATTAAAAGATGAAGTATTGGCACGAATAGGTGCCGAAAAGCAACTTCAAGCTGCCGAAAAAGCCTTAGAGCATTTAGAAACAGCATTAAAGCTAACTGGAGCACAAATGAGCGAATTACAAGAGCATATTATGCCAGATGTTCATAAATTACGAGGTAAAAATAAAATTAGAATAAAAAATTCAAAAGTTGAACAAAAGAAAATTTTGGATCTTTTTTTTTTTTCAAAAATTAAATGATAATTTGAAAAGTTTTAGAAAAATTTATTTCAATTACATTACCATCACTTTCTTCTCCCTTTTACTTTTTTTTTTTTTTTTTTTTGTTTCCTTAATCTATTACAGATATTATAAGTATAAAATTTTATATGCATATTATTATAAGTTCAATTATGAATTTAAAATAAAAATTTGAAATATATTAATGAAAAGAAAAATATATATTAATCACTTTATATGAATTATTTTATTAATTAAATTTTCACATTTTATATTTTGTATTTTGAAGAAATATTTCTTTTTTTTTCATTTCTTTTTTTTTTAGAATTTTTCGAACAGTGTGCTGAAATCTCTAAAATGGATGCAAATCGACCAATTATTATGCGAAATGCTATACACGCACGTCGTTCGTTGAGACGTAGCAAAACACGTGTACGTGGTTCATTCCGACGTAAATTAGCACCACTTAATACATTGCAATCACTAACAACAACTGAATGTAGTGTTGCTGAAGTGACAAATTCGGAAGAACCAATAGCAAAAATTGAACCAAATAGTTTAATGCATTTATAAATTACATTTATAATTGTATTAAATAGAATTAAATTTTGAATAATATTGTATGTAAAATAAAATAAAAATTGGATAAATTGTTTCCTAAATCATGAAAAATAAAATAATTAAAATAAAAGTGAAATAATTAAGTAGTCTAAAATTTTTTTCTTTCTTTTTTTGCTTTTTTCAATTAATAAGGGAAGATAATTTTTTTTAAAAAAAAAAAAAAAAATATTAAGTAATGAATTAATATGATTATGCACTTTCATGAATGAATGATTATTGATAATTAGCAAGGAGCAATATCATTCGTTTTTAAGCGATTTAAGAATTTTCAAACCTTCAAATTATTGTACTGTATTAAACTTTCTTCCTAACCTATTATTCGAATTGAAGATAGGAATTTAAAATCGCTTACTTTATTATCAACTTCTATCTTCCTTCATCAACCATTAATTTCTTTGCATTTATGTATGATAGATTAATGATATAAACTATTCGTTTTATTGGTTCAACTATTACTTTAAATCAAATTTTACAAATGCAAAATAAACATGAAAGCATTTAAAAATATGTTAGTTGTTTTCAACAATTTTATCACATATTTAGCATTTTATAATCATAGAGAAGTATGAAGATTTAACATTATAAAAATACGGAAAATTTTAAATTCTGTGAAAATATTATGAAATTTAAAAAGATCGGATAATGAAATGAAGTTTAATGCATAACTTTAACTTTAGAAGTTCGAATGTATCAACATCACAACTTTATAGAGAACATCATTATTAGGAATGAGCAACAAATGGCTATTTCGGTATGCGATCAAATCAATATTATGAGATGTATTATATTCAATGATTAGAAAAATAGAAATAATCCTTAAATATCAACAATAATAATAAAACATATTTTTTTAATAATAAAACATATTTAAAAAAAAAAAATAAAAATACCATTTAAGAAAACATTCGTGTAATAGAAAATTTAGTAAACAAAACCGTGTAAACAGGAGGAGTGAAAATTTTAAAGCATCCTAAAATATTAAATACTAAAATTTTAAGCTATTATAAATAACACTGCTGCAACAAAAAACATGCAAAAATTTTTCTTGTCATAAAGGATTGAAATTTCCAGCAATTCCAATCAGAAAACAAAATTATTATATTTAGTGTATAATCACTGCTTATTTACTTCATTCTGCTCTGTTGAAATATGTTGATTAATATCTACTGCTGGTTGTGGTAACGGATAAAGCGATAATCGAGACTTGAATATTCTTATATTCGTTATCCGTTCAGGCAACTGCAAAAGCAAATTATTCCGGATATGGAAAGTGAATTTGTGATTCCAGAAATATCAAAAAGAATTGAGAAAACGGAACAATCATTAATAAATTGGTATAAAGTAAATATTTCTTTTCACTGAATATAACGGATTATGTCATTTGCAGCTTGATTCACTGGTAGATGAAAGAAAGCTTACCTGTTCAGCATCACCGGAAGCGTTACGTTCACGCTTTGAAACTGTATCTTCCGTTTCGTTATTAGCGTAAACCATTGCACAAAGTTTTCGTCTTTCCGAAGAATTCACCGCAAAGTGCTTGTCAAAATATTCAATAACATCTGCTTTGGTTAGTTTTCGCAGTATTGGTACTTCAATATCATCTGAAATTGGTTTCATACTGATAAAAAAAGCATCCGATAAAGATTATAACTTCCATCGTCCGTTTAATTTTTTTAAAAACGAAAAAAAAATTCAAGAGATTGATTATAGTGCTATCTCTGAACAATATTAAACATTTTCTAATTCTTCGGAAACGAAAAATTGAAAATTAATTACAGTACTTCTTTCGAATAAATAAAATCCGCTATCAACTTCAGCCCAGTAACGGCCTGCCTGAGCTTTCATTGTCTTTGGCTTTTCGAGACGTTTGGTTGCAAGTGCTTCAACGTTGTCAAGAAATTCATCATCGGACATTTTTTCGAGATCAGACTGGAAAAATAAGATTTTTTTTTTTTGACTGGAAAAAAATATTTTGAGAAGAAATAAGTATGATCATTAAAAAAATTATTATGATGTTAATCTCTACCCTGAATTTTACGAGGAAATTTTCGATTCTTTCTACTATAAATTCGGGAATATGTTGACCCTGAATCAGTAATTCAATTCCTTGAACACCATTATTTCGCCTCGCTCCTGTGTGAACAATATAACCTGGAATTTTTCAAATTACAAAATATTGTAACTCTGTGAATCTTGAAATAACCTTTCCGCTTCAAATCCTAAAATCAAAACTTCTGGTAAGATTGAACTATATACAAAGAAATAAAACTGAATATATTATTAAATAAATGAAGCCAAAATTTTCCTTACCCAACTGTTCCGTTGTCCTTAGCTGATTGAAAGCAGGTTCAGCAGCCAGTTGCACGACTAATTCTAACAAGACATTTTCTCGAGTATCTTGTTGACCCGTTTGCATAAGATAATTGACTGATGCATTTGGATGTGTTGGTTGAAATGCTTTGTAAACATACTGGCATCCTGAAATGAGAAAATATCTTACGTGCTTTTTAAGCTTGAATTTGAATTTTACAACTTAATTCTTCGGAAAAAGTGGTAAATGTGGAAAGATGTTTTTTGAGAGACATAATGCAATATAATTTAATATACGGGAAAATTCCTTAGTTGTAAAATATTCAATATTTCGATGACATATGCATGTTGTTGCTAAAGAATAAACAGTAGCATGGCAGCGTAAAACTTAACTGAATGATGAAAATTTTACCTTTTGGAATTTCATGCTCTCTACATTGATCTAATTCACTATCGAAAAGATGTCGAGCATCTGGAAGTGCTTTGAACTTCGATACAACGTCATCCAGAATTTTGGCAGACTCCTAAAAATCCACTCTTCGAATTAGATCTAAAACAAAAGCCAGAAGAAAATCATTGATTTCAGAGGAAAACTGATCCAGCAAAATGCTTACTTTTTCAGTGCTATTGCCGTAAACAAGTGCTTCAATTTGTAAAGCTTGTAGAGATTCATGCGCAAATTTCCGTAATTTATCAACCTCACAATCTGAAATATTTTTTTTATCTTTCTGACAGCACTACTACTGTTTTTCTTATTCTTTTTCTTCTTATTATTATCATTATTATTATTATTATTATTATTATTACTATTATAACTAACTGTTAATATTATTATTAATAATTATTATTATTATGAATTAATCGATTCTTAATTCAAAAGAACAAAAACATTAGGAAACCATATAAAACATAAACTAACTCTCAGCGCAAGCTAATACTTCCTCCTTACTCCACTGACGGCTACCAAGCAATAATGTACTGTAGTAGTGAGCCTGCATGTACGGTTGACTTTGACGAAAATTTCGCAGATTTCGGCAAAATGTTTCTTTCAATACCTTGTAGCGTTCCTCATCTAAATATCACGGTCAATTAGCATGCTTAAAGCAAAATTAATCACCGCTAAAAATTTTCACATAATGTCACAATTATTTCATAGTATAAAAATAAAAAAATCAAACTAAGCTGATTTGGAACCTGAGAATTCAATTTTTTATTTCATTATTTTAGTCTATCGCATGATGAAGGTGCAATTCAAGATGATGCATATTCATCTCAAGAAATTATTACCTGGCACAAAAGTGATAAATCGCTGAATCAAATCATTGATATATTTTGGCTGCTTCTCATCGTAACCTGATACATGTAAAGTAATACCATAAGATTGCAAATCGAATGATGATTTTAGACCAGCAAGATGTGCATTGTAAGTTTCCTCACTGATAGCATCCTGAAAATGAATCTATGAAAGAACCTACGGGATTCCCTTTAAACTCATACAGTTTCTTACAATTAGAAATGATTATTTAAGCTCTTCAGCTAACAATTAATCAGTAAAATTCAAAAGAAAAGCACAGAAAACATAAATCTGAACAAACACAAATCATACAGTATAAATATAACCAAATTTTTCATTGCTATTAAAAGCAAATATTCGAATGGCCATCCAGATAAAAACAAAATAAAATTACCTGTAAGCAGATGACGAACATTGCAGAAAGATAGGAATTCAGCGGATCTGAATGCATCATCGGCGATTTGAAAGCTATCCGGGTGCTTAATTTCGGTAGCTTAAAATCATTATCCTGCATAAACCATAATCGGCACCAGTCGTTATTCACGACAAGATACGGTATTTTTCTAAAGATAACAAACGTTAAGAATAGAATTTTCAGTGGATTTCTCGAAAAAAATAAATTTTAACATTTTTTTGTATTTTAGAAACGCAGGTTTTTTTTTTCTTTTTTCATCTATCCATTCAGTTATTATCAATTTAGATTTAACACATAGAAAGGAGAAATCCGAATCATAAAATAACTGTTTTTTTTCTCACTTGGTTTTTTCCCGTGGTTTTAAGTCAAATTTGGTTGCAATGTATTCATTTTTGGCTGGTAAACTGAAGAAATCTGGTATCTGAGTTAGTGCTTCATTGAATTTCGATAAAACTTTCTGCAATGAATATACATGCCTCAAAGAACTAACCAAACAATTTTATCAATTAGCACTCATTTTACTCTGACGTATAAATTCTTTCTCATTATGAAAAATCTCACGTTATCCCAACATGCGACTATTTTTATAAAAATACAACAAACCTTGTCAATTTTTGTATTGTTATATTCTGTTCCGTACCATTTTTCTTTTATATTGTGCTCTTTGCCAGCATATTCTTGTGAAATTACAGCGTAAAACATATTTTCGGGTTTAATCTCTTCGACAAATTCTTTTATCAAATCTGCAATACCCGTTAAAGTCAAAAATAGAGTGAAATAATAACATAACTTGCATGTAAGGCAATGAAAAAAGCGTTCTCATGATTTTTCGTCTTTTTTCTTTCCTTTTTTAAAGTCAGATTCAATTATATATCCTTGAAAAGCAAAATACCTGGTTTGTACAAATCCATCTTATAATCTGCACAGATTACA